GAGCTCGGCGGGCGGGGCTGGGGGCTGCGCGGCCGGGGGGGCCGAGGTCGCCTTGCGCCCCGCTGAGGTGCCTCGGCGAGCCACCCACGAGGTGTCCATCACCCTGACGCCCATGCTGGGGACACAGAGACGGAGGTCAGCACCCGCCCGGTGGGAGGGCGCTGCCAGCACCCCCTCGCCACTCCTTCGGGGTCCCTAAAAATGCCTCTTATGCCGGGAAACCACTGGGAATGAAACTACAGCACAATAGGGCAGGGGTGGCAGCTTGGGATGGGTTTGTGTCACCCACTGGCCTCCTCTCCCTCCCCAAGAACCAGCAGACACCAGCAGCCTCCCAGCAGCCTCCCAGCAGCCTCCCAGCAGCCTGCAGAGGATACGGTACCTTTGGATTTTCCTAAGGCTGCATGGGCAGAAAAAAACGATTATTAATGTGAAATCCCCCCTCCAAAACTGGACAGTGCACAGGGAGAGAGGTCACTGCTGGGCAAAGGAGCTGTGAGGCTGAGTGGCTTCGAGAGTAGGGGCATGGGGGGCTGAGCAGGGACCAGGCTACGCTTGGGCTATTTTCTGGAAATGGGAACATTTTTAGGATGGGCAGAGCCCTGGGGTGTTTTCTGGAGCCCACCTGGCTGTTTGAGGTCCCTGTGAGGTGTCATGGAGAGGGGACATGCAGAGGCTGGGAACTGGGAGCTTTCCCCCAGAGCAGACCTTGAGGGCACCAGGACACCTGTCTCAGGCATGGCACAGCCCCAATGTCACCCCATGGGCAGTGGGCTGGGGGCGGGCATGTAGCCCTGGGTTCACCTGAGCACCCCCAAGAGCCTGGCATGGAGAGCAGATGGTACCTCCACCCTGGGACCACCCAACCTCCAGCAGCTCAGTTCCACCCCAAGGTGATGCTGAGAGTTGTCTGTTGCCCTGGACAGTGTCAAAGCCAGCCCTCCCTCTCCCCAGCCCAGCAGCATTCCTACCCATCCTTCTTGTAGAACTCCAGCATCATGTTGTCGGTGGCCACGCTGAGGGGCCGCCGGGCCTGGTCGTGCTGCCGGCGCTCGCTGTGGTCCATGTCTGGCGAGGGCATGGAGCTGTAGTTGGCGTTGTGGTTCACGTGCAGGGGGCTGCCGTAGTTCCCAGTCACATTGAACTCGATGTCTGGAGTGACAGAGGATGTTGGGGGGGTGTCCTCAGGGAGGGGAGGACTGGAGGTGTTGGCACTGCAGAGAAGCTCAGGGGAATGCTGTGCTGAGCCTGTCAGAGCCCTGCCTGAGCTCCAGCAAGCAGAGGGGGCTGGCAAAGCCAAACCTAGGAGCACGGAGCCCCCTCCCCAGGAGGTGCCAGGAAGCCCAGCTGTCCCGGGGCCGCAGGCACACCCTACCTCCCGGGAAGAACCAGTCTGCATGCTGGATGAGCGGCTCAATGATGCCCACGATCTGCAGTGACAACGTCGTCATCATCTCCGTCATGTTCCTGCAGGGGGGCGGCAGCTCAGCAACCCAGCAGGGTTCCCAGCAGGATTCCCAGCAGGGTTCCCAGCAGGGTTCCCAGCAGGGTTCCCAGCAGGATTCCCAGCAGGATCTGCCCCTCAGCCTTCAGCCAGTGCTCACCCCTCCGCCTGTGGCCACAGCAGGTTGGGCCCCAGCACGATGGCCACGTTGCTCGGGGTCATTTTGTTCATATCCTGGTACTCGGTCAGCTTGGCCAGGAATTTAATCACATACCTGGAAAGCAGATCCCAAATGGGTCAGTGCATGGGTCACAGCCTTTGTGTGCCCTCCTCGTCCTGCTGGCCCCAGGCTCACCTGATGTTGTTGTAGTTGGCTTTGGGCAGCTTCTCGCAGGCATTCCAAAGAGCCTGCAGCCGTTTCTCCTGTTCTGGGATGCTGCAGGGAGGTGGGAGAGGACGTTATTCCCCATTCCCACCCTGCCCTGGGGTTGTGATCCCCTCCAGCCCCACCCCTGCAGACCCTGCGAGACCCTCTGGCTGACACCAACATTATCTAAGTAAAAGAAGCCCCAAAACCTGTCCCAGGGAGAAGGAAACCATTTGGATGCTGGACCTTTCACCACTCCACAGCTTCCAGAGCCCAGAGGAAACATCCCAAATGTTGTGAACTGTGCCAGAACAGCCCCAAACCATCCACAGGGACCCGGGCTCTCCCAGCCATGCCACAGAGGAAAGGGGGGATGTCCCAGACTCACTTGGAGGCCTGGATCCACTCCTCGTACAGCTCAAACGTCATGAGGGGCTCGGGCAGCTCCCGCAGGTAGGACTTGAGGGCTCCTGTGGCACACAGGGGACACAGGGATTGGCACTGCAGGTGGCACCGGCTGTTGGGCACCAAGTGATTTTGCTCCTGGGCACTGGGACTCACATCCCCCCCAGCCTTCCCACCCACCTCAGAGCACCTGCTGGGCTCACTGACTTGGAGCAGCCTGTGGCACCCCTGACCCCCAGCACCCACCTTGTCACTCCCCAGTCCCTCTTAGCACCTTCCCAGTTCCCTCCCCCAGGTGTTTTCCCAGGTCTCCATCGCCCATTTTTACCTGGGACATTCCCAGCTCCCTGTGCTGGGACAGGCTCCCATTGGGAAGGGAGGGTTCAACCCTGTGCCTGCCAGAGCCCCCATTCCCAGAGAGAGCAGGGACACCATGGGGACCCAGCCAGTGCTCCAGCACTGGGATCTGTGCTTGGGGAGGCAATTCTCCCCAGAAGATATAAGAGAAGATGGGAAGTTTGATGTTAACATGAATCTTCCCAACCAGTCCCTGCTCCTGCAGAGACCCCCTAATCAGTGTCACTCTCATTAGCATCACCCTTATTAGTGTGACTGGATGATGGTTGTATCCCTGTTTTCTTCATCTCCAGCCTGGCCACGTCCCTGTGGATGGCAGTAACTCCCTGGGGCTGCCACTGTCGCCAGGTTGTGTCACCTGCCCACTCATTGAGGGGACACCCTGCCCCATCAGCCAGGCCATTAATTAATGACAAAATTAATTGAACAAAATCAGACCCAGCATTGACCCCTGGACTGCACCACTGGTTCCTGGTCTCTATTTGGGCTTGGTGCCACTGATCCCCCTCAGGATGCCCTTGCAGGATTCCTGGAAGGGCTACCCCACCCTGAGGAGCCCCACCTGCAATGGCATGGGGGTCAGCTGAGTACTCCTGCACATCCACCACGCAGCAGTCCAGGGCAGCCTTGAGCTTCTTCAGCTTGGAGGCCGAGGGAGCCACCCGGAAGAGACCCTGGGTAGAGGACATGGAGAGTGCTGGACAAGGCTTGGGGCTGGAGATGACCCTGGAGCCCCCCAGTTCCTCACCCAGGCCCTGGGGACACCCATGGGCCTCTTCCATCACACCCAGCAAGGGTGGGACATGGGATCCACCTCCTGCATCCCCCTTCCAGCAGGGACCCTCCTGTTCCTGTATCCTCCTTCCAGCAGGGACCCACCTCCTCCTGCATCCCGCATTCCAGCAGCATGGTCACACAGGCCTCTACGGGGAAGGCGATCTCCCGCCCGCTGACGGCCAGGTGCTCCTCCAGGGGCTTCCCAAAGGAGGGCTTCTCCATCCATGCCTCTGTGATGGGCAGAGGGGGCAGAGGAGAGGGAGGGTGATGCCAGGCCCAGCAGCCCCTCCCCAAAAGGCCCTTGGGTCACAGTTTTGGCAGCAGAATACTTGGTATGGGTGTTGTTAGGAGAACAGGACCCTGCACTTCTGGCCTGGGCAGCTTGGGAAGTGCTTTTGAAAGTGTAATCCAAACAAAATATTTTCAAGCCATCACAGGATTTCAAAGGAGTTGGATGACATTTTCCAGTAGGCAAACCTTTGCAAAATTCTCCTCCTCTTCCATCACAGTTTAAGGCAGAAATATTTTGTGGGATAGAGAGAAAAACCCTCCTTGCCCTGCTGCAGTGACAGCAGCACCCCAAACCCTGGCCAGGGAAGGAGCTGCTTTTGGGGCCATTGCCTGGGGCTCACCCCAACCTTGACCTCCCAGCCCAGAGCCTCTGGATGCTGCAACCCCAGAGAGACTTCCCAAGCCTCCCCTAATCCCAGAACAGTTTGAGTTGGAAGGGACCCCAAAGACCACCCAGTGTCACCCCTGTCATGAGCAGGGACACCTTCCACTGTTCCAGGCTGCTCCAAGTCCTGGCCTTGGGCACTTCCAGGGATCCAGGGGCAGCCACAGCTGCTCTGGTCACCTGTGTCAGGGTCTGCCCACCCTCACCATGCTAGGGCAGGTTTCTCCCTCTCCGTGCAGATGGATCCTGCCCCCCAGCCAAGCGGGATGGGATCTCCTCCCACCGGGACAGGCGGGATGCAGGCAGGGCATGCAAAGGGAGGGTGTTCAGCTGTCCCTGCCCTGTCACAGAGCCTGTCCCAGGCCCTTGGTGTGACTGTGGGAGCGGGACAGACCTGTGGGCACTCACCCTGCTGGGCTTTGATCTGTGGCAGGAAGTTCTGCAGGAGTGCCAGGGATTTGCGGTGGTACTCAGCCTGCACCTCGATCAGCTGCGGGGACACGGCACCAGGGTCACTGCACTGCCGGCCACAGCACAGCCCTGAGTGCAGCTGGCACTTACAGTTTGAAAATAGTTTGCATAGTCGACTTCTTTGGCCACAAAATTGTACATGTCAGCCGAGAGTTGGTCCTGTGGGGGGCAGAGGATCAGTCACCGTCCCTCCCCTGCTGCCCTGGACCCACCACCCCGGCCCTTCCCAAGGCACCAGGAGGGAGCAGCGGGAGCCAGAGTGGCACAGGGTTAAGGTTAGTGTGTCAGGGGAGGTTCAGGAGACCCCCCCCGCCACTGCAGCCTGAGCAGGGTCCAGGTCCCCCCAAATGCACAAAGAAAGGAGATTGGGCTCCCTCTTGTCCCATGGAAAGGGGGTGAAAGTCCCACTTAGCGCTTGAAAATGACAGGAATAAACCCAGCACAGAGAAGTTGGAGAAGTGTCCCTAACAGTGCCAGGGCTGGATGTTCTCAGGGCTGAGTTCTGCCAGGACAAGTTCCCAGGGAATGGGAGCCCCCCCAGTTCCGTGGGATGTGGAGGATGGGGACAGAGCAACTGGGGATTTCCAGCTTGGCTGGGGAGCATCACCCAGAGCCCCTGCGCTGTGTCTGGGCACCAGAGGAGGGGCAGCCTAAGCAGGGGGGAAGGAGGATGCAGAGCAGGGTGAGAGAAGAGGCTGCAGCTTTCCCCAGTCGGGGAGAACACAGACCCCCGAGCCAGGAGCAGCCCCAGTACCCTGCAGATCTCCACTCTGTTGGCTGCCTCCTCCATCTCCTCCCTTAGAGCATCGGCCTTGGCGCCCGAGGGTTGCAGGTTGCTGGCCAGCCCCGAGGACTTCACCGACTGCTGCCACCTGCGGGAGGGACAGGGACGGTCAGAGCACGGACCACATCCCTGCAGGGCCACCATGGTCCCCAGAGCTGAGCAGCATGGAGATGATCCCAGCTGGGATTTAGCACCCACTCCCAACCCCATCCCCACAGTGCTGCACAGACCAGGCTCCAGGGAAGGAATTCTTTTCAGCAGGGTAAGGAGCCATATCCAGTGGTGGGAAGAGAGAGGAAGGGGATGGGAGAGCCTGGACATGATGTTGGGGACTGTGGACACCTCTCAGACCTCTCCCAGGACATGCTGGAGTAGGGGCTTGGAAAACTCAAGGGTGTCCAAGTCATCCCAGCTCCCCTCAGTGCCACTGCAGGGGCAGGAGCACCTGGCTCTTTGCATCAGAAAAAAGTACAAAATAATCCTTTCTGCCAGAAAAAAAAATACACTTTTGCTGCAGAGGGCAGGCAAGGAAAAGAAATCCATGTGTTCTGCAGACAGGAGCTGAAATTGTGGCTCATTGCAGAACTTGACTCGAGGCCCAGAGACACAGCCAGGATTCCTTGTCCCAAGGGAACTGCGGTGCCGGGGGCCCAGGAGCTGCTCTCCTGGGAGTTACCCACGGCCTGGGAATGTTTACTTCTTATAAAGCACTTGGAGGCACTTCCTACCTCGTCCTGGAGGAGTCCATGTCCAGCACGAGCTTCGCTAAGTGCTTCCTCTGCTTTTGGATATTTGGGATTTCCACCTGCAGCAGCACATGGAAGAGGAGGAGGTGAACACCCCTGGAGAGGTGGCCAGCAATGGGTCACATACTGGGGCAAGCTGGCTGGGTAAGGATGCAGCTCCTTAATTTAACATCCTCAGGGAGATGGCCCAGCTGATCCCTCCCACGTGTCCCACCTGGAACGTGCCCCACCTCACCAGCTCCAGCCCCAGAACCTGAGAGGAGCAGCCTTGGGGAATCCAAACCTCCAGGAGAAGGCAGGCTGGATGAGGGCAGGAGAAGGACATGGCAGGACCCCGGCTCACCTCAGCCAGCACAAAGAGCGGCTCAATGACGTCCCTCTCCACCTGCAGCTCAAAGTGGATGAGCTCCTGCGCCAGTTTGTCCTCAGCCTCCCCACACAGTCGCAGCATCTTCCTGCAGGGCCAGGCGTGAGGGGCTGCACCAGGTGGGGCTGCCCCGCACCCGCGGGGGCCAGGGCACCCAGCGGCCCCTCCAGGGCACAGCGGGGAGGAAGGGCAGCAGCCAGGGGCCCTGGGCACCCGGGCTGTCAGGAAAGCTCATTCCTCAAGTATTGCAGGATTATGTTATTCTAATGATATAATAATAATTAAAATATTATATCATTGTATTATGACTATATTATTATGTTATATATTAGTATTAAGTTATGTTTTAGTAATATATAATATATAACATATAACATATAACATATAATATATAATATATAACACTATATTTTATTATATACTATATATTATTATTATGAGACATTATTAACTATATTACTATGTTATATATTGGTATTATCTTATGTTTTAGTATTAAATTATATAATATTATGACATAATAACTATATTATGTTATATATATAACTATATTATTATGTTATATATTGATATGCATATATTGATGCTATTTTATTATATATTACTGTTAGGCCAATCTGAAATTGTATGGACTTTAAATATCTATATAAATAAATATATATATAAAATATATAAATAATAAATCACATATAAATATAAAAATATTCATAAAACATGTAACTATATATATTACAATATAGAAATATATAAAATGTACAAGTGTAAATATATTAATAAGGATAAATAACATACAAGTAAATAGTAATAAGTCAAATAGAAATATATAACATATATAAAAATTGATATAAAAATAAATATAAATGTCTATATATGCAAATTACATTGTACGATCACAGGACGCCAGCCCATACAAGGAGGAGAAGAATTAACTACCGAGTTCCCCCCAGCCCCTCCAACACAGCAGTGAATCCCCATTATCCAGCACCAGAGACAAGGAGCAGCAGCATTCCCAGTGCATTCCCAGAACATTCCCAGGGCATTCCTAGTGCATTCCCAGAACATTCCCAGGGCATTCCCAGAACATTCCCAGAACATTCCCAGTGCATTCCCAGAACATTCCCAGGGCATTCCCAGAACATTCCCAGTGCATTCCCAGTGCATTCCCAGAACATTCCCAGTGCATTCCCAGAACATTCCCAGGGCATTCCCAGGGCATTCCCAGCACATTCCCAGTGCATTCCCAGAACATTCCCAGTGCATTCCCAGAACATTCCCAGAACATTCCCAGTGCATTCCCAGAACATTCCCAGGGCATTCCCAGAACATTCCCAGCACATTCCCAGGGCATTCCCAGAACATTCCCAGGGCATTCCCAGAACATTCCCAGGGCATTCCCAGCACATTCCCAGTGCATTCCCAGAACATTCCCAGTGCATTCCCAGAACATTCCCAGGGCATTCCCAGAACATTCCCAGCACATTCCCAGTGCATTCCCAGAACATTCCCAGGGCATTCCCAGTGAATTCCCAGCACATTCCCAGCGCATTCCCAGTGGATTCCCAGCGCATTCCCAGTGCATTCCCAGGGCATTCCCAGGGCATTCCCAGAACATTCCCAGTGGATTCCCAGAACATTCCCAGTGCATTCCCAGTGCATTCCCAGGGCATTCCCAGTAGATTTCCAGAACATTCCCAGCACATTCCCAGTGCATTCCCAGCACATTTGCAGCGCATTCCCAGTGGATTCCCAGCCCCCAGGCCCCGGGCCAGCCCCAGCCCCCCTTACCCCAGCAGGGAGTCATCCCCCAGCACGGTCGATCCCTCCATCAGACATTGCGCCAGCGTCGTCAGTGGCAGCTTCTTCTGCAAAGAGATGTGCTGCGCTCCCACCCGGATCCCCCTGGATCCCCAGATCCCCATGATCCCTGGATCACGGAGCCCCCAGCCCCACCGCCCTCACCGAGCGCTTGTCGGCGTCCAGGCCCTGCTGGCCCTGCAGACAGGCAGTCAGCTTCTTGTGGGTGCTGTGGGACACCTGCTTCACCAGCTCCAACCGCTTCTCCACCTGCAGGAGCGACAGCCCATCTCCAGGGATCCCATCATCACCCAGGCTCTCATCACTGCGGGATCACTGTCCCCCACAGATCCCATCACCTGGGACCACTGATGGATGCAGGCCCCACAGCAAGTGCCCAGGCACCCATGGACACCCTGGGATTGCTCCGAGGGAACCTCACCTGCAGCAGATCTTCGCTCAGCACCTCGGTCTTCTCGGCTCTGCAAGACAAGAAAGGAGAGGAACCATTGGTGAAGAGGGTGGGACACGCAGCAGCACCCCGTGCACACCACAGAGCCAGGGATGGGCTTTTCCATCAGGATGCAGGGGGGCTTTAAGGAACTCTGCTTCCCCCTTTCCCTAACCCTAACCCTAACCTCATCTCCTAAAGAAAGGACAGATGGAGCACCTCCATGGCTCGCACCAATCCAGAGTCTGCCTCTCATCTCTCCCTTATTTTTCCATTACTCCCAGGAAAACAGGGATGTGAGATTCCCAGAAGGAGCCAGGCAGGCTGGAGAGAGGCGCCATATCTGCAGAGGTGAGGCTCCCTGGGCTCCACACCCTCTCCAGGTCCCAAGGACAGCGCATCCACATGGCTGAGCCTCCTCACACGGGGACAGCCATGGGATGGGAGGTGGCAGCTGCTGCCCAGGCCTCTCCAGAGCCCTTCCTGCTGCTTGCTGGAGACGGATTTACCGCTCCAGAGCCTGTGGCAGCCGCTGCCTTCCCGAGGGAGGAGCGCTGGGATGGAGACACAAACCCACCATCCTCAGCCCGTGGACCCGCAGCATCCAGAGCCCCTGCACCACAGCTGCTCAGGCTCATTTAAACCATCACATCTGGATCATTTATTCCTTTTCCCAGGGTTTTTAACAACTTCAGTGCATCCTTTCAGTTGGAAAAATGAGCTCTGTCAGTTTGAGCTGGGGCAGAGCTGTGATTCAGCCAATTGGTCCCTAAAGGTTTGTCAGGGAACAGCGAGGGCTTGGTGCTGTCATGCTGAAAACACCTTTATTTCCTGAACCAGGTCCCTTCCTGCCATCCAAGCTGGATTCTCAGATTGGAGAGAGGGAGGGAAGTGTTGGAACAGCAGAAATAAGGAGCAATCACAGAGAAAGATTCAGGCAGTGAGTGCAGCACAGGAGTGGCTCATGCACAAGCACATCTCACCCAAATCCTTGCAGAAAGAGCAAATCACAGAATCATGGAATGGGTTGGGTTAGAAGGGGCCTTAAATCCCACCCAGTGCCATCCCAGCCATGGCAGGGACACCTTCCCCTGTTCCAGGCTGCTCCCAGCCTCAGTGTCCAGCCTGGCCTTGGGCACTGCCAGGGATCCAGGGGCAGCCCCAGCTGCTCTGGGGACCCTGTGCCAGCCCTCCCCAAACCAACTGCACTAAATCTGCTTTGGGCACGAAAAATGCATTTAAGGTGGTTTAAAAATAATTTTTAAACAAATGAATTAAGCAAACCCTGTTTATTTTAATTTTAAAAATTGTTTATTGAAATAGATTAGAACCTCTCTAAGGAGAACTGCCCACCTGTGAGCTGAGCAGCTTCTCCTCCTCCTCTGGGAATCATCTTCACTCTCATTTAGACAGGATTGGAAGTGACACAGAATTAGCACGAACAGGGAAAAAAGCAGCAAATATCCACAGGCACAGCCACAACGTCCGTTCCTGGCTCGGGATATTTTTAGCATCTTGAAGGAGTGGGAGGTGGCAGGGAGTGAGGCACTGCTGGCACATCCCTGCTGCTCTCTCCCCAGGAATCACTTCCTCACTTGAACAGAAAAAGGGATTTTTTTTTTCCTGTGTTTTCTCCTCTCCCAGCCAGGAGATGGGTGGGATTTGCACATCCCAGGTCCCATGGGCAGGTCTCTCTCCCAGCAGCCACATCCCAACCCGTGCTATGCTCTGAGGTGTGTTTGGGAAGCAGAAAACCACATTTCAAAGAGAATAACAAAAATCTGGCCTTGATGTTTTAAAGCACATCCTCAGTGAGAGCAACCCCTGTGGTTTCACCAGAGAGCATCCCCCTGTGCCAGCCCTGTGCATCCCGGGGTGTTCCCATGGGCTGGGGAGCCTGCCAGGGAGGAATTTGGCTTGAAAAAGGGGGAACAGCTATGCTGCAGCATTTTATGGATTGGGATAAGCAAAGGAGCTGCTCCAAGAAGTCCCGCTTAAGGACAGGTGATGGTCCCTGTGCCTACCAAGAGAGGGGGGGCAGGGACACCCCAATTTCCCTGTCTGGTCCCTAAGTCCCCAGAACTTCATTCCATATGAGCTTCACGCATCCCGAGGGAGCATCCCTTGGAGAGGCAGCCAGCATTCCCAGCTCCCAGTGCTTTTCCTCTTCCGTTTTGGCAAATAAAATCCTGCTCCCCACCCTTCCCCTCCAGATTTCCACCCCAAGCCGTTTTTCCCAGCACAAACCCGGGCCCTGCTCAGGCAGCAGCCGGACTCCATCCCTGCAGGCAGCTGGAAAAGGGACAATGACCATGGACAGCTAAAGCCAACGAGGGGGGTGCAGCCACGGCGTGCTTGGGTTTTTGCTGCTGCACAAGTTCATTGCTGCCAGCAGAAATCAACACCAATCAAGCAAATCATGTTGACTCCCAAATAAACACATGAGTTTCCAAAGCCTTGACCTGGGGAGGTGCAGCAGAGCCGGTGCTTCCCTGGAGCATCTGCCAGTGCCAGCCCCTCTGCCTGGCTGGACCATCCATCACTGTCCCCCTCTGGTGATCCGGCCACCCACAACAGGGAGCTGCCAGCCTTGGATTTGACCCTGAGCCAGCAAAACTCTGAGCACATCAAGGATTTCATGGCAATTTATCTCTGAATGTGAAAGCATCAGGCGCAGTGTGGAGACAGCAGGAGCAGGGATGCTTCTTCAGAGGTACAGCATGTCCATGGTGACCCAAAAATCCCCTTACCCCCATCTCCTGCCCAAACACTCCTTTGACCCCAGCCCCAGCCACTCTTCGCTGCAGCCTGCCCATAAACATTTAATCACTATTTAATTACCAACACTGATTCCCTGATTTCTCCTTGCTCCAGCCTAAAAATAGTTCCACGGCTGGAAGAGAGGCACAAACACCCAGCCAAGGCTGTACTGTTCCCGCAGCACTGATTCCCAAGGGTGGGGCTGTCCCACATCCCACACGGACACAGGGACAGTGCCCGGCTCCATCCTGGTCCTGTCGCATCTCCCTCTGGTGCCTGGGAAAAAATTCCAGGCGCTCGAGCTCCCAAAGCCCAGAGGGGAGGTTAGGGAATGAGCTTTATCCACAGCCCCCAGGTAAAGCATCGTCTGAGTTTGCCAGAGGGAGGAGGAAGCCCCTCAGTGTCCCCCACAGCCCTGGAAGCCCTGGGCTCCGTGATCCAGGCTGGATTCTGATCCAAGGCCACGCTGTCCCCATCTTCTGCCGCCACCTGAGCACTCCCGGCCACCTCCTCCCTGGGGACACGGATCCCGGCGGCTCAAACCCGGCTCCCGCCGAGCCCCAGCGGAGCCGCGGATTTTTCCCGGTGCCTTTTTAGCAGGCAAAAAGCAAAACATCAAATATTGATATCCTCAAATCGCTGCTCAGCTCCCCCGGGAAATGACTCCGACTGCGACATCCAGCGCGACGCGAGGACACGGCCCCGCCGGAGCCTCCTCCGGCGCGTC